TTCTAGTTACTTAAACCAGAAAATAAATTATAACACAAAATCATTTTATTTTTCTTGTTACTAAAACTAGAAAATACTGCAATTTTATTTTCCTTGTTACTGAAACTAGAAAATAAAATACCACAAAACTATCTGATTACAAAAATCAGAAAAAACACAAAATAATTTTCTAGTTGCCAAAACCAGAAAATAAATTAAAACACAAAATAATTTTATTTTCTTTATTACTAAAACTAAAAAATAATATAATTTTATTTTCCTTATTACTAAAACTAAAAAAAATAATCAAGTCACAAATTATATAATAAGAATATTTACATAATTTTATAAATTTAATTTCCTCCAATTAATATCACTACGCTAGTGCACAAATCAAGGACGACCATATCCTAAGGCCATTAAGGCAATGGCCTTAGACCCCATTTCTCATGAATGCCCCAAACTTTTGCTTAACGCCTTCAAAACGGCTGCGCCGCCCCCACACAAATAAATACAATTTATTTTATATTTTTTTTTACCTAATATCACTCTATAAATAATTTTTCCATTCAAATCCATCATATTAAGGCTAGGTTTGGGAAGACTAAATAAGTATATTTTTTGATTTTTTTTATATAATAAATAAAAAAAATAGAAAAGAGATATGCCAAATTTTGAGGGTAAACACTACTTATATATATATATATATATAATTAAATATAAATTAATATTAAGAAATCAATAAGATAGATAAAAAATATAAAATATAAAAAAAATTAATTTAACCTGTGCAATGTACATAATTAAGCACATTATGATTTAAAACCAAACCAAACCAAACCAAACCAAACCAAGCCAAGCCAAGCCAAGCCTTGAGTCCCATCAAATGGGGTCGGCTACATAAATCCTTCTTCTTCGCGCGACCCTATCAAAGGCCATTTTGTTAGTCAAATTAAGTAGATCCATATATCTATTTACAACGTTAACCAATGTTAATCTAGGCTTACCCCGTCCCCTAACACTCTCATCTACCGTTACAGTATCGCATCTCTTCACTATTGTCTCTGTTAGTCTCCGTTGAATGTGACCAAGCCATCTCAATCGATTCTCTCTCAACTTATCTTCTATCGGTGCTACTCCTACCCATTCCCAAATACACTCATTCCTAATTCTGTCTTGTCTAATCTTGCCACACATCTACCTTAGCATCCTCATCTTAGCCACACTCATCTTATCTACATGTTGTTTCTTGGTTGCCCAACACTCCGTCTCATACAACATCGCTGATCTAATAGCCATTCTATAGAACTTACCTTTTAGTCTAGTGGGTATTCGTTTATCGCACAGTACCCTAGACGCACTCCTCCACTTACACCACCCCGCCTTAATCCTATGGGCCACATCCGCATCAATCTCCCCCGTTGTTATGATAATCGACCCTAAATAACGAAAATGTTCACTTTTAGGTAGTTCTTGGTTCTCAATCTTCAGTTCTCCTCTGCTTTCATTGTTACTGTTATTAAATTTACACTCCATGTACTCTGTCTTAGTTCTGCTTATCTGGAATCCTTTCGATTCAAGAGCTTTCTGCACATCTCTAACTTTGTGTTAACTCCTTCTCTAGTCTTATCCACTAGCACGATATCGTCTGCAAAAAAGCATATACTATGGCACGTCATCCTGAATATTTCTCGTCAACTCATCCATAACTAAAACAAAAAAGATGAGGGCTTAACGTACATCTTTGGTGTAACTCAACAGTAATAGGAAATTCATTTGTCTCTCTAGTAGGCGATCTAATAGTGGTCACCATCCCTTCATACATGTCCCTAATCACATCAATGTAACATTTTGTCACCCCTTTTCTTTTCTAACACCCACCATATTATATCTCGGGGCACTCTATCATATGCTTTCTCAAGGTCGATAAATACCATATGAATGTCTCTTTTATTTTCTCTATACTTTTCTGTTATTCTCTTCAAAAGATAAATCGCTTCCATTGTTGACCTACCAGGCATAAACCCAAATTGATTCTCTGACACCTCTGTTACATCTTGCAGTCGGCGTTCCATCACCCTCCTCCACACTTTCATTATATGACACATGAGCTTGATTCCTCTATAGTTGTTGCAATTCTAGACATCGCCTTTATTCTTATATATTGGCACTAAAATACTCTTTCTCCACTCATCTGGCATATTCCTAGTCAACAAAATTTTGCTAAGCAACCTAGTCAACCAAGCAACCCCCTTTTTACCCAAGCACTTCCAAGCTTCAATAGGGATATCATTGGGTTCTAAAGCCTTATTTGATTTCATCTTCTTAAGTGCAATCTCCACTTCAAAGCTCTTAATTCTGCGATAAAACCTATAGTCTTGGTTTAACGTATTACTGGTCATTTCTTCTCCTATTGTCGTACCTCCATGTTCCTTATTTATTATTTTCTCAAAACAGTTCTTCCATCTTTCCTTAATCTCTTCATCCTTTACCAATACCTTAGAATCCTCACTCTTGATGCATTTAACTTGATTAAAATCTCTTGTTTTTCTCTCTCGTATTTTAACAAGTTTGTATACCCTCTTCTCTCCCTCTTTACTATCTAGTCTAGTGTATAGGTCATCATAAGCTTTCAATTTCGTCTCTTTTACTACTTTTTTAGCCAATCTATAGCTCTTAAGGTTTTCCTCAGTTTTATGCTTCTGCCACTTTTTAAAGCACTCTTTTTTTGTCTTAACTACCACTTGAACCTCTTCCCTTCACCACCAAATTTCCCTAGAGTTGGGTCCCGTTTCTTTCGACTCTTCAAGCAGTTCCCTTGAGATTCTCCTCATACAATAGGCCATCGAGTTTCACATAGTGTTAGCATCATCTTCCAAGTCCTAAGTACCTTCTTTATTCATTCTATTCTTAAATATTTTTAACTTATCCCCTTTTAGGTCCCACCATCTCGTCCTACTACCCCCACTATCCTTCCTAGCTTGGTATTGTCCTCTAAAATATAAATCTAGTTCCAAAATCCTATGTTGAGAAGTCAGGCTCTCTCCAAAAATCACCTGACAATCATTGTCTTTTAGGCAGTCCACTTTTCTTACTAAGAAGTAATCTATTTGACTCTTAATTGATCCACTCTTAAAATTTATTAAATGCTCATCCCTCTTCTTATACATAGTATTGGCCACCACCAGGTCAGAAGCTAACGCAAAATCTAAGATATTCTCTCCTGCCTTATTTTTGTCACCAAAATCGTATTCACCATGCACCATTTCATAGCCTAGTTTATCTATACCTACATGGCTATTAAAATCTCCACCTATATCCAAGTTCTCTACTACGGATATCTCTTGTAAGATCTCATCCATTTGCTCCAAAAAATCCCTCTTAATCTGATCATCTAATCCTACTTGAGGGGCGTACGCACTAATAACGTTCACTATATTCCCTCAAATAACTAGTTTAACTAACATAATCCTATCCCCTTTCTTAATGACCGCCATTATATTCTCCACCAGACCCTTGGCAATTATGGTTCCTACCCCATTCCTGTGTCTGTCCTTACCAATATAATACAGTTTAAAACCGGTATCCTCAATTTCCCAATCTTTCTCACCCGTTCACTTAGTTTCTTGTATGCAAGCTATACTAACTCTCCTCCTAATCATAACATGTACCAATTCCATCGCCTTACCAGTTAAGGTTCCTATATTCCAAGTGGCTACCCTAAACTTATATTCTTGAACTAGCTTCTTTACCTGTGCTCGTCTAGGAAAACACGGGAACCTTTGCCCATTTTTCACCACACCCAAGCGTTGATACGGCGCCTTTTGCTCACTTTTCGAAACACCCGGAGGCAGGCACAACGTGTTACTTGAGGGTAACAGCCTCGCATTTAAACGATTCAAAGTATGATTCATTTTCATAAGGAATTCGAACGGTTTTTTTACGTGTTGGCTATCGGCTACCTAACACACAATCTTCCTTCTTAACCCGGGCTTGGGACCAGCAGAGTTCTAATTATATATATAGAAAATAGGTATTTTTCAAATAGAATCCATATAAAATTGGTTATTGTAATTGAAATTAAATTTATGTAGAATTTTATATGTAAATTATTTATTTATTTATTTGTATATCAAGATAATTTTTTTTAAATATCATAATAATTAAATTATAATTATATATATATATATATATATAATAAGTATTTCTCAATTAGAATCCATATAAATTTAGTTATTATAATTGAAATTGAATTTGTGTAGAACTTTATGTATAAATAGAAAAGACATGTTGATGCGAATTTTTTTATTTTACTTTAAAATAAGTCTTTACAATGTGCCATCTAAGTAAAGGAAAAACATTATTTTTAATCATATATATGATTTTCATTTTTAAAAATAAAAAAATTTATTATCTAAAATTGTTATATATTGTAGCGTATGTATATATTGATTGAGGACTACTATATGCTACAACTTATTTTGAAAAAACTATATATGCATAAACAAGAAATTAATGATAAACATTTAATAAGAAATTAATGAGAAAGATCACATACAAAGCATACAAAACAATAACAAAACTACCTTCTTATTATTTGACAACTCATTGTTTTAGTTTAAAAGTTAATAATTTTTTTTAAAAAGTCAATAATTTATATCAAAAAGTTTAAAAAAAAAATTCTCTCCACCTTTTATACATCTTTTTATAAAAAATTAAAAAATTACTTCAAACATATTAATTTTTTTACCTTATATTTTAATCAAAAAATTATAAAAATAGCCAGGGAGGCCTAACATAGAACCATTTGTTTCTCGTGGTTGAGTTGTCTACTTCTTTCTACTCCAAAATCTCATCTGTCTTAACCTTCAAACAACAGTATCTCACCAGCTTTGTACCCAAAAAAACAACAAAAACAAAAACACAAAAACAAAAAAAACCAAAACCGCACCTCACCAGCTTACCATCATGCCCACCTCTCTCTCTCTCTCTCTCTCTATGAACTAGTGAAGTAAAAGCAAAGAAAACTCAAACCAACCCATCATCAAATGTTCCCCCTCATCTCCTCTCCTCCAATATTATTCACAAACACTTCCCTCCTCATCTCCTTCACTTCTCTCTCTCACCACCACCACCATGGAATCCATAACCCACCACCACTCCTCCACCGTCGACACCTCTCGTCCTTTCACCTCCGTCAAAGAAGCTGTTGCCATCTTCGGTGAAAAGCTCCTTACTGGCGAACTCTACTCCTCTCCGAATCCATTCTCAGCTCCCAAACAATGGAACTTTTCCCTCACGAAAACCAAAGAGAGTGACGACGAAGAGCAAAAAACCCTAGCAGAAACCCTAAACAGACTCGAATCGGAGCTCAAAGAGACGAAGACGGAGCTGAAGCTTTTGAAGGAGAGAGAGTCGGAGACTGAGGTGGCTCTCGCTTCGCTCAACGCGGAGCTTCACAAGAACATGTCGAAGATGGCGAAAGCCGAGGCGGCTGCTGCGGGGAATGCGGCGGCCAAGGCGGTGGCGAGGACGGGAAGTGCGAGGAGGGAGGAGGAGGTGAGGAAGAGGGACATGATTGTGAGAATGGAGGAGGATAAGCCAACTTTGGCTCAGGTTTTGGGTATTGGTGATGAGGAAGGCTTGTTTGGAGGAAGAGAAAATGGGAGGAAAATGATGATGGTGAAGAAGAAAAAGAAGAAGCCTATTATTCCTCTTGTGGGAGACTTGTTTTTTAGGAAAAAAGGGTCTTCTGCTAGTCTTCGGAGTTCTCTCTTTTCATCAACCCATGTGTACTTAAATTGAAAACAATATTGGTTGGGTTCACTTTGTGACCTAGCTATAATATATGCATTAGCAATAAGTTTAGGAATATAAATGAGACATTTAATCATATTTTGTATTGATGGACAAGATTTTTCAGTATTCCCATTGATAAATCTTTGTTCATTCATTTATGTGTTTTCGGTTTTGATTTTGTGTTTGGTTTATGTGTTTTGAGACTTACTTTCGCCCAACTTGAAACTTGTAATTAGTGGGATGTTGAGGAAAATTTACATGTTTTTTTTGCTGGTTTTATGGGATGTGTAATGTATATGAGCATGTTTATCTATTTAATTTGATCTTTTTTTTGTGTGTTTCCCCCCCTTGCAAACATGAAAATTGATTATCACATGAAATTAGGGGTGTGTACGGGAAAGAAATACACCTTCTCGTATAATCCTGTTGACCAAGTCCACGCTCCTCCGTACGACGTCGCTTTATCACCTGAAAACACAAACGTGAGCTAGCCGGAAACCTCTCCGATGCCTAAATCAGAAAACTTGACAGATAGACAAAGCTCAATGTTCTTAGAAAGCAAAATTATGTTACCTCCACCAAGGTGATATTTGTGAGCTTTTATAAGTTTTGTGTGGCACAATCCTAGTAGGACTTGTACTCCTCTTATGCAGAGTCCTCCTAGGATTTATACTCCTGAAAGATAATGCTTATCCTTCCACACCCCCCTTACTGCTTAAACCAAGTGAGATGGTTTTTACCATGGCTGAACTACAATCATGACCGAAATAAAACTGGCTATGCTGAGCCACAGAGAAGGCCGAACCACCCTTACTTTGGTTCCACCTTTAACTCCATCCTTATCTCAGTTTTCTCATGTACAACCCATGGTGTGCTTAAACCGAGCTTCCGAGTAGCAAGGTTTTGACCGTTCTAACCATAATACGCCGTGATCGGACTAACTCTGAGACCGACCTAACTCCAAGTTGCCTCCGGACCGGAGTAGCTTTACAATCCCTAAGCCGAAGCAACTTTTACTTCTCCTGGCCGAAGTAACTATACCTCCCTGGGCCGGAGTAACTACACTTCTCCTGGGCCGGAGTAACATTGCGGCCTTTTCACCCAGTCCTTGGCACTTTGGGCCACAAAGCCCATCACATAGCTCGGCCCAATTTTTACCAAAAATTACCCTCTCAATTGCCCCTTAATTCCATCTGCTCAGCATGATTGGGATTACCAGTCCACCAACCGAGCTGAAGTTATTAAGCCTTTTTAGCCGAGCTAAAAAACCCTTTAGCCTCTCCAGCCGAGCCAAAAACTCTTGGGCCCTTATGCCGAGCTAATTTTACTTCAGGCTTCACTTTGTCCGGCTAAAAACGTCTCTTCAATCACGACTGTAACGCTTCCCTTTCCGTATACACGTGGCACGCTCCCATTCGTAGAAGGCAGCTGTCAACGCCGTCTTCGTATTTCGTAATTTTTGAACAGTTCCCGCCCTCTCTCTCTCTTTCCACAAAACAATCATCCTGCCTTTGAACCATTCACCTTTACTATTCTCCATCTTCTCTCTCTGTGCTCTTGCTGTTCTTCCGTTGCTTCTGAAGACTGATTTTGCTGCCACTTTCCCAACTCCAGTTCCCTCTTCAATCTGGTAAGTAAACTCATTTTGCAAGAAAAATAAGCTTCTTCTTCTCTTTGAAAATTTTCTCTCTCTAAAAAAACCTCCACCTCGGGGCCTCACCGCTGGCCAGCCGGCCGCCGCCTTTGGCCATGGCGGTTGGCTGGCCTAGCTTTTCCTCTTGTGTTGTTGCTTTTTCTCCTATTAATCTTGAGCCCCCTTTTGTTTTTCGGTTTTCTCCTTTTATAGATCTAATCTCTAGATTTGATTAGGATGCTGTTTTGTCCTTTTGTTTTTGTTTAGGGTGTCTGTTCTCTCAGGTTTTCTTTGGGGTCTTTAGCTGTGTTTTCCTTGGGAGGTTTTAGATCTATCTTTACTTCGGCCATGGTGTTCAGTTTCGGCCATGGATTTCGGTTTAGGGTGGCTGCGTTGATCATGGGTGGGTTGGTTCAGGAACTTCATTCGGGCACTTCCACTGCGAGCGGGAGTTTGAGGGGTGAAGGTTTCATAGTTGTTTAGGTTCTTCATTCGAGCGCTCCGTGCGAGTGGGAGTTTGTGGGGTGATTTCCGTTCAAATCTTTAGTGGTTGGTGCTTTTGTTCGGTTAAGAGGTGAATGGCGCCGGGTCTTCTTAGAGGGGACTGCTCAGCGTTTGTTGGTGAGGATCAACTGAGGGAGTTGTTTGGGTGAGTAAACCGTGGCAGAAGTTTAAGTTGGTAATTTGGGTTTTCAGAGTAATAGCGTGGCTGCTGAAGCAGCTCAATTTCCAGAGGCAGAGCAGCTCCAACACCAGCGGCAGTAGAGGAGGCACCAGTAGCTCCATTTCCAGAGGCAGAGCCAGTGGCTGCTGAAGAAGAACCTAAGGAGGCCGCAGCAGCTGTACAGGAGGCACCAGTAGCAGTTTCCGGTAGAGGTTGAAGACGAGAGCTAGGATTTTGTTGAGCCAAGGAGGAGTAACCAGCAGGGTTTGCAGTCATGGATGGTTCTCGGCAGCAGTAGGCGTGGGGCTCAGTGTTTTAGGTGTCAGTGCTTTAGGTGGTATTCGGCAGGTGTGGGTGTTCTCTGTGTTTCAGTGTTAGGTGTGGGGCTCAAGAGTTTGAATTGTAGTTTTTTTGGGTTTGTTTTGTTAGTTTTATTTGTATTTTAAATTATATTTTGTGAGGCCAAGGGGTCGGTTATAAAGACGTGAGTAGCAGTAGTAGGAGAGTGAATTTTTACTCTTCGAATCTCTCTCAATGCGTTTTTTTTCTTGTACCTTTTAAATTTCATGTTTTAATGGAATTTTTTCTTTGCCGATCAAAAAAAAAAAGTAAACTCATTTTGCTTCCTTTGTTTTTGCTTTCATATCCGTTCTACGTATTTTGTTCACTGTATTTTTGCAAAACATGCTTGTTCATTTTTGTTTCGCTTCTGTACTTTCATGAGAAAACCAGTAGAACTCATGCGTGTATGAACTATTCTGTAGAAAACTAGTCCTGGATCCAAAATCATATAGCAACCAAACTAGGATACTGTTTGTCCTATATAGGTAGATTACTTTAAACAATAACCGAACTAGGATCGTAAGAGTTTTAACAAATCACCAACTCCTGATTCATTGTAGCCGAAATAAAATTACCGAACGAAGTTTGAACACATTAGACTGGGAACCACGATCTTCAACCGAGCTAAGCCTTTGGGGCTAAACCAGCTTTCTAAGTTTCTAAACCAAACTCAGAAAGCTGCCCCTAGTGGCTTATCCGAAGTAAAAAAAGCCCACTGTTCAAACGAGGTAAAAAAACCGATCTTGCGAACCCAAAGTTCAAACCGAACTACCAAGTTTTTTGCCGAACCAAGACAGAACCTGCCCAGAAAGCCGAAGTAGGGCTCATTTACCTTGTTTTTAATTTGTAGCACGGTCCAACGATCTGTGCTTAACCCCTTTGTTTTCTACCTTGCAGACTTAGGTTACCCAGGCACTCCTGCGTGCGCTCAATCGAGCTACTGAGCACAATTTTTGCACCGATATAACTTATTCGTAAATTAAACAACAAATGGGTAAGTATAGGTATTTGGTAGAGACCCCTGGTGGCATGGCCGAATTCCGAAGGGATTATGGCATTCCAGACGACGTACACCTTACCCTAGCCAAGAAGGACATCATACCGTAGGGCGAAGCAGGCTTTGTACCTTTTACCCTGCTTTCAATAATAGAGACCGGACTAAGGTTCCCAGTCCAGCCTTTAATTTGTGAATTTCTTAGGCAAACCAGGTTATGCCTAACCCAGCTATCGACCAATACATACCGGATAATAATGGGCATAGCCGAATTAAACCGCTAAGCAGGCCTTAACCTCGGTCTAGCCGAAATCTTCTATCAGTACTCCATAGGTTCTAAAGACGATGGCTGGGTTTATTACCTTAGGATACGTCGCCGTAGAGAAAAGATAATAAAAGATACGCCGGATAAGGATGTTAATGATGATGACTTCTTCTGGGTATCGGGTAATTTTGAAGATCAGCAAGCCCCAATCCCAAGCCGAAGTATAAACTGGAAGAAATGAGAACTTGGTATAGTTACTTCGGTTTTATTCATGCTTTCCTATTGCTTTGGTTTCAGACGTCATAACCGATCTAACAGTTGTATCCTTTTTGCAGACTCAGCTCATCTTGCTTCCCATTACAGTTACCCAAATCTAAACACACTCCGAGCCGCACTACGGCTTAAAGAAAGAAGTTGGTCTAAGCTTCTAAACTTTGAGCCGACCTACAGATATAGCGGTCGTCGAAAAGCCCGAGTGGCTGATTTCCTTCTTGAAGAAGCACCTGAACCGGACCCAACCTTGCCCGAAATATGACTTGTCCCACTAACCGCTGAAGAAGAGATGGCAAAGAAAAGCAGAGTTAGGGCCCTTCTGACCGCAACAACCAGGGCCGAAGTATCACCAACTATCAAACGCAGCCTGCCGTTGTGGCCCTCCCTTCTTAACAGCCTTCTTCATCTCGCCCTTCTAAATGCGCCCGATCTACATCGACCGAACAGCAACTTGTTGACGAGGTTGAATCCATCCCCCAAAGTCCTCAACCAACCCCCCAACCGGAGCAAACTGACCGAGCAGAATCTTCCAAATGGGCTCCGAAGCTAATCTTCAACGACCGAGATATCAAAGATTCTGATTCGGTTGTGGCTGAAAAAGATCATCAATTGGCCTTCAATCTGGCCAAGAGTGTGTGCCTCCCTAAGGATATGGAGCACCACTTAAAACAATTAAACACCGAATTGAAATCTATCCGGTCTTCATCCAAGTCCATGATCTTGGTAAGTAACTCTGTCCGCTTTTTCTGTCTGATTTTTCCAACTTTTACTTCGGCTCAAGAGAAGTCTTCGTTTTGTCAGGCCTTACAGAAAAACAACATTACTTACAAGAAAGTCCAAGAGCTTAGAAAAACCACAAGGCAAGCAATGGCGGAAGCCGAAGCAAAGGTGGCCGGGCTAGAAGAAGTCGAAAAGAAAATGGCCGAGCTACAAGCAGAGAACGGCCGACTTGCCGATCTGGTTAGTTCGGCTGAGGCAGAGAAGCAGAAAGCCGCCATTGCTATGAAAGACAAGTATCTGCACGAGTTGGTAAAGTTTGAAAAGAGAAAAGACACCGAAATAACTCAACTAAAAAAGAGCGCGAAAGGAGCCGAAAAGCAGGGTTACAAGCAGGGTTACAAGAAGGCAGAAGACGCTTATGTCAAACAGTGC